CTTAAACTCCAGAGCTCCACCTTTTTGAGGGAGCACAGCAAGTTTCAAAAGAGGTTATAAGTGAGAAGAAAATTTTGGGCTTTCCTGGTTAACTAGCAAAAGCAAACATCTGCCCCATCTAATGAAATTCTATGTGTATCTAGGCTCTTTTCTCACCAAGGCAATCCAGGATAGTTTTTCTTTGTGAGGGACTGCCTGCACTTGCACAGACCACCCAGTAAGTGGCAGTAATGCACCTCCCCCACCTTCAACATTGTAAACACTAAAAATAGCCAATAGTGCACCACACCCAGCTACCTGGCAATCACAAATATGCTGCAGGGGGAATTCTCTCCCATCCACCCCAACTCAAAATCCTCCTCCAAGTCCTGTATTCCCTTATAACTAAGTAATCCCCATACTCTATCCTTCTCACCACGAAACTTCTTAAAAGTGGAGTCTATGTGCTGTCTCCACTTCTTCACCTTCTCTTCAAACCTTAACGACAACCATCTGCTTTTCAGTTTCATTCTTCTACTAAAATCATTTCCCTGTGGTCATCCATATCTTCATGATGACCAGTGAGCACTTTTCACTTTTATCTCCCATCACCATTCTGCTGCATGTGAAATGCTTATCTTAACTTTCAAATCCCATCTCCATTCCCCAAATCCTCAGGTTATTGAACCTCAGTCTTCAACCATGCAAGAAACCTGGAAGTCATCTTCACCTGCTGAGTTGGCTCGCTTCCTGCATCTAATTACCAAATCCCACTGAATAACCCCTCTGTCCAATTCAGGTTTATTGTCTTACTTTGGGGTCTCATCATTTTCCCCCCAGACCCTAATGCTCTGTGACCTCACACAAATGACTCAGTATCTTGTGTCACAGGGTCCTCTTTTGCAAAATGAGGATGATAATAGTATCTATCACCAAAGGGTTGAAGATTAGTATGAAGATGAAATGTTAGAATATATAAAGTACTTTGAACCCTGCTTGGCTTAGTGTAACTAAACAATAAATCTTCACTATTATTTTTACACACCCATGCAATAGCATCAATCACATAATATTGTAACTGCTTGTGGGAGTCATTCTGCCCCCCTTAGCTGTAGGAGATCATGCATCATTACATTTTCAGGCTAGTGAACAGTGTCTGGCTTATAGCCAGCATATAATAAATAGTTACAAAATGGGTGAATCAGTCTTTGCACTGTTTACAATGCCCAGCACATGGTAGGTGCTCACTAAATATTCACTAAATTGAATTGGATAGAATTGAATTAATCTTGAGAGAATGCAGCACAAGAAGTGGTATAATATTTGGTAAGGTATAAATAGTTTAAATTTAAAGTGAGACCAATTTCTTTTGAGACTCCTCCTTAGGACTGATTCTAAACTAAATGCATAATTCTGCATTCTTTGCAAATTTAGAATTTTTTTTTCTGTATTTCATTCATGTCCTAGTTTTAGTTTCCATGCCCTGCCAACCCTCTTTGTTTTCATTCTCACAGCATAGCTTAGTCATATCTCACTAAAAACCTGGATTCCTGTTGCCACCTGTATGAGTAAGCTATTGCTGCATAACAAACACACCCAAAATCTCAGTGGCCTGTAGTAAGAAGCATTTCTTTCTCATGTATCTGTGGGTCATAATCCAGGGGAGACTTGACTGGGCTGCTCTGCTTTAAGCTGCAGGCCTGATTGTATTTGTCCTCTCACTAAGGGCTGGCCTCAGCTCTGTGCCATATGTGCTTATTCTGGAGCCCAGGTTGAAGGGGCAGTGGCCACCAAAGGGAGCTCTTCTCTTGGCAATAGCAGAGAAACAAGAGGGTGAGTAGAAATCTGCAATGTTTCTTAAGGCCTCGGTCTGCAGTGAATGCTTCTCTTAGCACACCCCATTCTTCCTATCATTCTTCCCATCATTCTTCTCATCTTTGAAGCATTTGTTTACTCCCCTCCGTCTTCCCCAAATATTCTTTTTCCTCCTCTTTTATCTGTCAATGTATGTCTTACTTATCCTTGAAGATTCAGTTCTTCTTCTCTGGGGAGCATGCAAGGCTGGTCTGAATCCCCACCTTCTCCGGTTATGGAATTTTTCTATGATGAAATGTTCTTACCTATTTATTGTATGCTGCCTCCACTAGACAAGAAAGTTCTCGAGGATAGAGAATGAGTCTTGGTTGTTTTATTATCAGTGCCTTTCCTAACTCCTCACACAGAATCGGCCCTCGGGATTTTCTTTTGCAAATAACTGAATGAATAAAAGAGTAAATACCCTAGAATGTCCTTACCTTGCTCTTCTTATATCCACCTATCAAAAACAAACAAATCAAAACTAACAAAACTCTCTCCAAAATTTGAAATCAAAATTTCAAAATTTGAAATTTGAAACTTTATTCAGGAATTTCTTTTTCTTGAATGATCTCCATCTCACAAACTGTCTTCCCCCCACCACACACACACAGCCCCACATACCGCATCTGCACTAAAAAGCATGAAAACACCTTACACTAAAGGGCATCTTTCTCACCATTCAGTACCTTTTATGACACCTGCTATTTTCTGTTTTGTATATTCTTTGAGTACTTCTATTAGCCCCTACAACGTTAAAAAATTTTGGTGTCTTTTTCACAATTTAATATGCCTACCTCATCGCTGTGAAGACAGAAGATACTCAATAAATATTTGTGAAATTGATTTGAATTATGAAGTCCATTAATGAGTTTTATACCTCATAGCAATTCTTATTCCTAACTATAATCTCTAGCCAATTTAAATCATTTGATCTGAAGTTCTGGGTTGTTTTTTTCTCAAATAATATTTTATATCACCCTTTATGGTGGGTGGTTACTCAGTGTTCTGAACAAATCATTGTTACTTGATCAAGTATTCACAGCAAATACTCATGATTATTTCCCACTTCTCTATACTATATCCATGTGTTTTGAGTTTACCTTCCTTCTGTCTCTTGGATTAAAATGTACATTTCCATTTTGGAGTGTGTTAATAATGCTTTAGCCTAATTGCTTCCTTACATACTGGGTTGTCTCCAATTCAAACCATTACATTTTCCTAAGAAATGAATGAAAATCATGACTTCCTTGAAGTCTCACTATGCTTCATTTCAATTACCCCTTTATAATAATATATCACTTGGCATTCTCTGATGCTGCATTATCTATTTTTTCTCCCCACCTCTACGTATACCTTTTAAAATTTTATTTAGCACCTCCACCGATGACTAGGACAATGTCTTGCAGTCAGTTGTTCAACAAATGTTTATTGGACCTCTAATATGTGCCAAACACTGTCTAGGTACTGGGGATCCAGTAATAAAGGAAAGAGGTATGGTCCTTACCCTCCTGGGTTTTCCATTCCAAGCAAAGGAAACAACAGTTGTTCAAACAAATCAGTCTCATATTTCAGATTGAGATAAGTGCTCTAAGAAAAGTAGGGCAAGGGTAGCTGCATAGAGAATGGCACAGAATTTTATGTAGGAAAGGGTATAATAAGAAGGTGCCATTTGATCAAGACCTAGGCCAATAGAGTTCCACACAGAAGAAAGTGAAGGTCCCCAAGGCAGAAGTGTACTTGGAAGGAATGAGAACCAGCAATGTGGACAGTGGGGCTGCGTACAAGTGTAGCGAGGGTAAGAGATGACCCAAATTAAATCAGTTAATTAGTGGAGGTCAGATCATGTCCTACCTTGTAAGTCACAATAGGGACTTTGATTTCATTCTGAGCAAAATGGGAAGCCCTTGGGCCCACTAAATATGTTTCATTATCAGTAATAAATATCAATGCTATTGAAAAAAAACTTCTGGAAGTGGGTGGTATGGATGGTTGTGCAACTTGTGAATGTACTTAATGCCACTGACCTCTATAGTTAAAAATGAATAAAATGATAAATTCTATTCTATATATATTTTACCACAATTATAGAAAACAAACATCTATGAGTGAATACTCCAGGCCAGAATCTACGCTATGTGCTGGTGACTATAAGAAGACATAGATGATTCAGGTGCTCAGAATTTGCTTTGAGAGAGTCTGTTCCATATATTATAAATTTAGATACACAATGCAAAGGAATGTAAATCACGTCCCAAATGAGAGGGCTAGGCTAGGATTTCACAGAGTGTCTTCTTGGAAACATTAGTCTAGATATGGGTTCTCTGCAATAAAAGGATCTTGCTCAAAAAAGTTGGAGAGGTAATGTCTCCTCCATCCCCTCCTGAAGATTCATAGTGCACATTAGCATATCACAGACTCTCAAAGTACATGTTAAAGAAACCTGTTTAACTTTGTTTAACCTACCATTGCTAAATCATTTTGATCACAGGCCCTTTTTTCTAAACCACCTATTAATGTCCTGGGGAACTGGTATTCCAAAGAACCTATGTCACAGGAGACGCAAAGCTGAGATAGGAAGGAAAGAGTTTGTGGAGAAAGTGTGATCTGAGCTGAGCCCTAAAGGAAAGGAGATACTTAGATTAGAGAAGAGGAAGGGCATTCAAGGCAGGAGAAATGCTAAGAAATGCACTTCCAAGTAAGTCTCTTGGAACTTGCCTCTTCAAATACCATTGAGCTTCAGAATGAATGTCCTAAATATACTGACAAAATCATAATTTTGATGACCACTGACTGATAAACTTCTTCTAAAACACCCAGCACACCAAAGACACTAAGATTAATTATTTTTGCCGAAGTCCTTTTAATTCCTTGTCATTATTTTATAGAAGACAAAGTTAAGGCCCAGAGAGACTATAACTTACTCAGTCATCCCTGTCTAATCGATGGCAGAGTATTCATTTTCTTACTCTGGGGCCAGGGTCCTGTTCCATAAAGGAGGGAGTCGTGGTCTTTGTATGTCTGCCATAGACACTTTGGAATTAAAGCAAAAAATCAATTCCTATGCAAGATGAAGATTTCAGCATGCAGTGGATATGGAAACAGATCAAATTAAGGAACAACGCAAGCTTGGATTTTAATGAAGCTCATCTTTGTTTCTTTTGCAGATCAAATTTTTGGCTCTCATCTGCACACAGTGTGTGAACGTGAAAATTCCACAGTTCCGAGGTTTGTAAAGCAATGCATTGAAGCTGTCGAAAAAAGAGGTGGGTAACTGAATATCTAGCAGTTCCCCCATTCCCGCACCCTCTAAACAACCGGTACTCAAGTTAGCAGTGCCACTTGATTTGTCTGGGAAGCCATGCGATTAAAACTTGACTCGTGTTAATCAGTTAAGAGGATCAAGTTTCTTATTAACTTCAGTTTGTTTTTACAATAGGGACATTAGTAATTCTCACTAATGTTCTTTTTTTTTTTTTAATATTTTGTCTGTCTGACATACTGTTGATTCAATTGCAAACTTCTTGTTTTCAAGCCAGTGATAAAACATTCATAAAATATCAGCACTCGCAGTGTTAGAACCCTCCTAACATTCATGCTGGTAGACGTTGTGCCAGAACAATTTTTGGTAAGCCCCCAACATTACCCAAGTGAAGGAAATAGCATCCCTACTCGCAGACAGTGATATCCCACCTTCCACATGTTCCTGTTCAGGATAGAATATGGCTAACGGGTTTTCCTGAGACAGTTAACAGATACACCTCCAGTGTTAAGATGACCTTTGATTTTGATTCCTCTATTTCAATATTCTGTTTTTCATCTGAAATTATTTCATCTCACTGAAGAGAACAAAACAAAACCCGGTTGACTCATCATTTCTACACTAGTCTATCTGTGGGGTGTTTTTCCTTCAAACTATGACTTCATTCATTCAAGGTCATTTTTTCTGGAAGATACATGTAGTAGATGCAGAATCTTAAAAATTGTATTGTATAAAAATGCGAAGCTTCATCACCATCTGTTACAAGTTTACAACATATTCCCAGGATCTAGGGGGATATATATCATGTGAAAGATAGAGGTGTTTTCAGAAAAAGAACTGGTGAACCTATTCCCATTTCCAGCTCCTAGTCTCTTAAAACAATAGAACTAAGGGGAAAAAAAATCTTTACCAAGTAATCTGCTAGGGAAAAAGCCATTTTAATTCTCTCAATGTTACCTGGCTTTATTATAAAAGCATAATAAAAATGGTCTGCAATTTCTAACTCCTGGAAATTCACACTTTAATTATAGTGTAAGGACAGCCTTGGGATCCTGTTATTCCCATATCAGTAGGAAATGAGAGAATAACAAGAAGGGGAAGAGTGGGCAGGGAACGTGGATAAAGAGAGTGGCTTTGGGGAAGGCACATGAACACATCAGAGAGAAGAGCAGAGGTGCAGAGATAGAGTAGAACACAGAAAATGCAGCATGAACATGAGGAGAGGTGTCTGTGAGGAATGAAGCCAATTGGAGTTTAGAAAGAAATGTGTTCTTATTGCACGTTGCAATTTCATTTAATTTTATAAGCACATATTTTAGGAATAAATATTATTTAATAAGTACTTAAACCCAAAATGGATCACTGAGAATATTGTAATGTTATTATTTCCAATAGCTAAATTGTCATCATTTCCAGGAAATCTTCATTCACCTATAAATACTCAGTACCGACGACATGAGCACCATTATATTAGACCAAAAATCCAAATAGGACTTTGGGGGAAGCTGCACATAATAAGATGTGTGCATGTATAAAGAAGAGCTCCATACCTCTCGATTTATGTCTCTACCGTAGGCAAAATGAAATACTCTGCTAGATGCAGCCTTGCAGTGTGCAGATACTATAATATTGTAGAGTAGAAAATGTCTATAAATAGAAATGGCATCTTTTGTTCATGGCATTTTGTTGGTGATTTTTAATAAAATAAGACAATGTTTTTGCTGACAGGAGCAATCACATCTAGCATTATATTTCATTGTCCCAGTGTTTACTTTTAAAATGAATTTGTAGATCCAGCACTAAACAGGCGCTAATCACACATACGATTATTAAAATAATTCCTAAGCATTTTAATGAAACTCAAAGACTTTACAATTCCACAAAGCAACTGATAATTCAAAGCACTTTGGCAGTGTCAGCTTAAAGGAACTGTATGGAAATGTTCAATAAAAATTCAGAAGCACAAGATAAACCTCTCACATCATTGCAAGATTTACAAGTGTGTACTTTTGATTATATTTTTCTATGATCATTTTGTTGGATTAATATTCTTACATTTATACGCCAATTCTATTTACTCAAAGTGTTGTTTTTACTAAATTCTGGCATAAAGCATTTCAGGACAGCAATAATTTATGTGAATCTAAGTCCAATGTTTATGCAGGCTTCTGATGACATTTTATGCCGGGGTTGGTATTAGGAAGTAGCATATGAAGGTGCCAAGTCTCTCGGCACGGCTGGGACTCGGCATATCTAGCGCCCTCCTTCTAATGGCCAGATCCTCTAGCAGCCAAGACACTCAACTGCAGAGTCATGGGAAATGCTTATGGACCAGTTATGAGAAAGGCACATTTAATGAAAACTGTGTGTTTACTCTCATAGACTTAGGAAAATGCCCTCAATACTCAATACAACAGCACATTGGCTATTTTAAAAAAAGATTTGTTTCCTTACCCTTTTTTTCTTCCTCTTTTTTATCCTTGAGATTTTTTTTTTCTTCTCCTTAAAAAAATTAATCTGTAAACTGTAGCTGTACTTTTTAAAATGCTTCTTAGATGCTTGATTTAAAATGAAACATTATCAGGAAGGCAGATCTCACCAATGATCTTCATTCATTCAGTTATTGGTCTTACCTGCTTGCATTTGACAGAACCAAATTGCTCATGCTTCTGTAGTCTCCACGGGAAATTCTACCCAGTCCTTGGCACAGGGGTGCATTCTTTATTCATCCCTGGTAAGGTGGTATTAGTTACATTTTAAATTTTGCAACTCTTGGACATGCCTAGAAGAAAATCTATTCATAAACCAAATGTAAACCAATTTAGCGAATAACTTGTTTAGTATGTTTCCTTATCTTGATTTGGTTCCCTTTATTCCTCTAAACCTCCAGAGCTTTCTCCTCCTCACCAACTGTTATAACTAGATTAAAGTCATTTCTGTGGTTTCTGACATTGTCTGCTCAGCCTTGAAAATACACACAAAATTTGGAGGGCAAACTAAAGGAGCGTGTTAGTTTTTAAAGCTCTTCCAAGTGGTTCATTCTCCCTTGCCTTGCCTTTACAGTTGCGGACCACGTATATGAGATATCGCAATTAGCCAGTGAAAAACTCAATTTATGTTTCTTCTTCCAAAGCAATTTCTGTGAAAATATTGAATCATTGTTTGGCTAATGCTTAATATGCACCCTTGGTAAGATGACGAAAAGCATGAGATCATCTGCTATTTTGGAGGTTTGGAGGAACAAGTGTGTAGAGGGAGGCATTGTAGCATGTTGGTGGTATGGAGAGATGAGCAGCGAAAAGTCCATTTTTCTACTTTATAGACTACTTTGTGTAGTTTCTAATAACATGACATATGTATGAAAATTGCTTGCTTAAAAATAGGATTACCTGTATCTGTTAGTCTCTAGGAGACTTGAACTAAGCAAAGTGTTTAGTCTAAACTGGTGTAGTAAGTAGTAAGACCTTAATGCATAGTTCTTTTTATGTAAATCATATGACTGACTGACCACCCTTTGTGAAGATCCATCATTTGGGAAAAAAAAAACCTCATCCAGTACTTGACAAACTGTAAGCAATCAATGAATATTGGCTGATCAGAGTAACAGACCCTAAGTAGCTATTGAGTACCTACTGTGTGTGATTCTCCATGCTACTGCTGAGAATATAAAGGAAATTAGACATTAAGCAAACAGACATACACATGAGTATGTGAATTTGTTAGCATAAACTGTGAGAAGTGCTATAAGAGAATAGACACTACAATACAGAATAACCACTACAATAATGAAAGAGCAGGGAAATGTGTGTGCTTAAAAATAATGTAATAAACCTTCAATAATAAGCAAATATTGGTCTAGTTTACTCTCCATACAAGACCAGGAGAAGTTTAATTTTGCCTTATTTCCCAGGTTATTTTTGCCTTATTTCCCAGTTTGTTTTCTTGACACATTATGACAATGAAACATTAATATAAGGAGTCACATGGTGTGAAATATCTAAAAAGACATTTCTTAAATAGTAAACTAGTCTTTTTATGCCCAACAATATAATACTAATCATGTATTTTGCCAAAGAATTTTTATATAATAAAAGTTAACTAAATGAATGAGCATATTTCTACCCTAAACATATTTTAATGTATCCAATACATTTTTAAGGGAATAAACTGATTTTTAAAACTTTTTAATATAATTTTCATTGGCATTCGTCACTTGGAATAAGATCTAACAACTCATTTTTCTTTCGTAATTCCTGGTTCTGGTTAATACACCCCCAAGCTATTTAACAACAGTAAAATGATACCTAGAGATCTGTTGTACAACAGTGTGAATATACTTAACACTACTGAACTATATACTTAAAAATAATTAAGATGGTAAATTTTATATTATGTGCTTTTGACCACAATTTTTTAAAAAATGATACGATGATACTATGTCTTCCAAATTTAATGATTCCAGGTGTAGGCTACTTTGCAGAATGCCTCAGCAGATGCTAATCAACAAGTTTGTCCTTTCTGTCTTTTTTCTAGAACACAAAATACTATGAAGGGAACAATACACAAAGTTACATATTTGACTTGGTGCCTAAAAGCCACCCTGGGATCCATAACCTCGCTTAAAGATTTAAGAAAGACCTTTAGTCTACTTCTGAGAAGGTCCTTAGCCTCAAAAACTTTATCTCTCAACTTGACTTCTTAGCAGCTGTTATATTTTTTTGCTGTCGTTTGTTTGACAGGATCCAGTTATAGGTTCCGATGTCTGTTTAAAGAAACAAGGAGGCTGTTGGCTTTAAAATTCCCTCATTGCTTGTGTGATCAGCATTTTCCCAGGCTTTGCTACATAGTTTGCCAAGCAAAGGGACTGACCTTTTGTAGCAAACACTTTTTCATTTCAAAATGCTCACTTTGATTTTTGTCCCATTTTATGCTCATTCCAAACTGTTTACAACCCACTAAAAATGACTGTGAATTATATGTTTGTGTAATGGATTCCTTTTGTGG